GGGAGTCGCCCATCTCCCTGCCACCCCTGGCCCAGCACAGCAAGAAGGAGGCTGGAGCATCAGAGGATGATGCTGGATACAGACAGCCTGGAAGATGTGGATGGGAAGGTCTGAAACTCCTCGGTGGCCGCTGTCACATCCCCGCCGGCTCAGCCCTGGACACGGAGTGTGGGGAGCCAACAGCATCGGCACGGGCCGAGCTTCGCCTCATGGGCTGCGCTGCTGGAGACCGAGCAGAGATGCATCTCCACATGTAAAAACATAATCCTAAACCGCCTTGGCAACAGAGGGACGTTTCCTTCTTCCCCCAGTTCATCTCGTGTGGAAACAGCCGAACGCAAATATTTTTAAAACGCTCAGTAGCAGGAGTCCGAGTGTGTCAGCACTGCGGGCACCCGCCATGAATTTGTTTTACAAAAGATGTGACCCAGCTGTTGTCAAGTGTGAAGGTTCGCATCTTCTCCCTGGCAAAACTTCAACTTCTCTGGAAAACCAACTTGAAATCAAGTATTAAATGGGGACATCTAGGGGAAATACCCGACGGTGCAGCCACGCTTCATTGTATCTCTGTTTTTAACAGGGGCTTAGTGGTAAATGGTTGTCCATGCAAACCTCGATGATACCAACACCACTCACACCAGCTGTGTATATGTGTCTCATTACTGAGCTGAGGGTGGACATATGGGAGGGGGTGCATTTGCATGCTCCATCCTGATGTGTAAAGCAGGCGAAACTCAGCATCTCTGTTTGAGAACATCTGGGCTTGGTGATCTCTCATTAGTTCCCTGACATACTACACCCTATACGTGGGGGCTGATGGTTGTCTTTGCTGTTAAGAGAAAAAAAGGGTTTATCCTGGTATGATCAGCCCTCATATTTCTATTGGGAATTTCCTCATGCTGATGATTGAAATACTATTTAAAACTCCAGTTCCTGGAAATCTGTGGCTGTATGAGAATTTCAGCTGCCTTTTTTGAAGAAACTCTTGTGTTCTCCTAATTCTTCCCTTCTCCCCACTGAGCTGTAGGAAAAAAACAGCTGAAAATGCAACCCAGGTATATCCCTGAACCAGAAAGAAGCTGAAAATAATTGAGCACTTTTTTCTCACTTAACTTCACGGAGTTTGGATCTGATCAGATACGATGTGTGGATTTGGCAAGTCTGGAGTAAGAACAGAATAGAACTGGGTAGCTGCTCCTCAGTGTGGACCAACAGACTTTGGGGTACCACTTGTCTGAAGTTGAGATTTGCATTACAGTCTAATACCTTAAGTCTGTGGTGTTTTTGCACATTTTAGTCAGATGTAATGTTCTTGAGCATTGTAAGAATAATTTCTGTCACTTGATTTTTAGTACATGTTAGCCTTTAATGCCGAACGGAAGGAAAGCCTTTGCCTTCACATCTGTGAGGGGAAGTCTTGAAAATGTGGAAAAAGCATTGAAGTGGTGAGACGGAAGTTGCGTCTGATCCTAGGGCAGGATTTTCCTTCTGTGAGGGGCCATCGCCATGGTGCTAATTCTGTATCTCTGATCTTCCATGGCCAACCCAGATGAAGCTGAACTCTGGGTGTTTTCTGCAGCATCTGCCTTTAGCTGAAGTACACAGCTTGCTGTCTGTAAGAAATGCAGCGACGCTGGCAGAGTATTTCCAACTCCTGGTTGTCCATCAAAAGAATTACCTGGACAGAAAGTACTTATAAAAACAAGATTGGCATTAATGCTTGAAAATTAAATAGGGGCTGCACAATGTTTTGAAAAGAGATACACAGAATCCTTCATCACTTAGGATTTAAAACCAGAGATCACAGACGTTACAAATATTGCACTTCAGATGTTACAACAAATGCCGCACCCTGTAATACTAATTAACTAGCAGCTTGGTTAACACAAGTGTTTCGCAATACCCCAAAAAGCTTTTCAAGACAGTGTGTATCACCATGTCGTCCCTGGCTGCTCCGGCAGGTTACGTGGCCTGGTTACTCCCGCATCAGCTGCTGAAATGTGTACAGTTCAGGGGACCATGCAGAGCCACTGAGATGCATTTCCAGCTCGCACTGAAGATACTCCTTTCCCCTTCCCCCTTCCGTTGCCTCCTTCCCTTCTGTTTTCAAGACAGAAAAAGGTCCAAGAGCCTAGGAAACTTGTTTGATTTTGTGGTGTTATCGTCTTCTGCATCCCAGCAGGATGTGAAGCCCCCAGGTCACGTTTGCTCATGCTGTGCAAACGCGATAACCAGGTCCTGGCACAACGAGCAGGTAATCAACACAGGAAAAGCCCAGGTCTGTGATAAAGGAGGTCTTTACAGCTGTACCAGCAAGATGCCAGGAGCACAGGGCAAGTGGGGATTTCTGGCTCACTGAAGCTAATTCCTTCATACTGCAGCGGCCTGATCATGTAATCCTTTCCATAAACCCATCGTGCTCCGTGTGAGAAAGCAGGTGGGTTTCTTGCCAGTAGTGTCCTCCACAGGAGGCTATTTGCAACCCCCCATCCACTGGTTTGCAGCTTCCCCACCTCCCGCCTGCAGTTCCTCAGTCTATTCCCATGTTTCTGGTTTGCTGGAAAAGTCCTTTTTTCCTTCAGAGGTGGAGTAGAAGAGAAGAAAGACAGAAAATTACGAGTAATTTAACAGTGCCTTCTATGCAGAAATCTCATATGCCCTTTCATAAATCAGGCCATCTTATTAGTACTGTTCTATTAATTCTGAACAGTATCTCTTGTCTGCTTCTATGTTTTAATTGCCTGTGAAACCTGTCTGGGAGCAGTGGGCATTTAAAATAAAATAAATCCTGCTAATTATTGCTCTCAGCTTTGTGCAGACGATGCCTGAGAGCTCACTGTTTTCCGGATCTGCAGTTTTATTGCTTTCTCCTTTATGTGGCTGACCTGAGCAAGGACCAGCTCGTGCTGCTGTTTGACTCTGTGGACCAAAATATGAGCGGGAGGATTTGCTTTCATAGGTTCTACGCAGCGGTGTGCATCCTCCCATCTCATGAGAAGCATATCCTAGGGGTCGTGGTGTTGATGCAGGGAGCTCTGCACCATCCAGTGCCCACGGCAAGCGAATCAGCTCACTGAAGCTGATATTTACTCACAGCATTCAAGGGATGGTGAAGGTCCCTGGGTCTGGAGGTGGCTATGATGCTGCTGCATAGGAAAGGAAAGCAGGGAAATGAGCAGTCCCCTTGTTAATACCAACCTTGCTTCTCTGGGATAAACCCACTCTTGAACCTGCTGCCAGGTAGGAGCCATCTAAACACTCGTCCCAGCTCAGGCTGTCCATCTTAGCAAGGAGTTCTCCAAAAAATAAGCCCTCAGCTGTGGCTACCTGTGGGGAAGCGAGCAGAGCGCCTGTTTTCACCTGGTGCAGGGTGCGCTGATGCCCTTCTTCAGCCTCCCCAGCATCACCCACAGTGTGGGCTGGGGAGAGGCTGGTGCCCATTCTGGGAAAAGCAGAGAGGACAGCAGCTGTGGTGGTGGGAGGGGAAAAGGAGGGGAGGGTAGTAAAGTCAGAGTAAGCCCCAGAGCTCAATCTTGCTGCTGGATGTGACCTGCAGCTCCACTCTGGACCCGGCTGAGGGCCAGCACTCGGGGCTGCTGCCCATGGGATTCGGGATAGAGCCCTGCAAGTCCTTTGGCACATGGAGGGATGGGAAGGGACCTCTCAACGCAGCCTCGGAGCTTGGCCAGCTGTAGGTGGCTCTCCCTGGCACAGCCCAAACCCAGCCAGCAGCACCACATGCTCCCACATGGCTGCATGGCAGGAAGCACCAGGATTTTGGTATTTCCTGTGGCCACAGCTAGTGGGAGGTCACCTTTATCCTCTGGATGTGAGCACCAGTTGGTATTCCACATATACTTTCCAAGCAGGAAATGGATGCTTATCATCTATTTCAAAACTTTTCTGTCCCAAAACAGAACCATCTTGAAATGCAATTCAGCCACTGGCATGTGGGACCTGCCTTTCAACTGCTGGATGTAGATGGGGATAATGTGATTGATTTTAGTGAGTTTGAAGCCACAACATCCAGAAAGAACTTCAGAAGATATTCAAGGTCTTTGATATTTCTGGAGCTGAGGTAAAATTAGGGAAGTTACAGTCAAAAGATAGGCCATGAAAATGCCTCTAAATTAAAAATTAATCCTTAACATTTGAACCTTGCAGCTGCTTCTCACTCAAGCCCCAAGTTTTCTTCCTATTGACTTCAGGAGTGGGCCTTTGGTGACTTACAGCACGGTCTGAATGGAAAATGTTTTAACAGATAGCAACAGGAAGAAATACTTCAGGGGGGGTTAAGCCAGGCATATTCCCATGTCTGAGGAAACTCTAGTGGGAGGAGGTGCACAGGACTGGCAGAAGTGCCTTTATTTAAGCTGTTTTCTTCTGAGTGCACTTGGGGCTCCTCATTACTTCCCAAGCTCTCTGCTGTCCATTCTCAGAGCTGCTGAGGGGGTACCTTGGCAGGGTACACTCAGATTCACTCCTGGCTCCTTCTAGAAACATTACAAGTGCTGTAATGCCTTGGCTTCTGCCTGTGCCAAAAGCAGTCGTGGAGATGTCCATGTCAGATACGAGCCCCAGGAGAAGCCTC